GGAGACTTTGTTGTTACTGTGTCTGGCATATCGAATACTCTCGGTAGCTTGCCGGGCTCTCCGAGAGGGGCGGAGGAATCGAACTCGGGTCGGCCATGTTGGCCGCTTGTAAGGCGAACGCCCTACCCGCTGTGCTATCGCTCCAGCATCCAGTGTACTTTAACAAATTATAACTGAAATGAAAATACTTGGTGTCCCTAAACCAAGGTCATTACAACAAATGTTTTAGCACGTAATATTTTTACAATTGCAATTTAGCATTTCAGAAACAGTTGTTATCCGTGAAGGGAAAGCCACAAATGTGCCATAAATGCACCACAAATGCATCCAGTGCCAGGAGGTGGGGGCACTGGCTAGGCTGTGCAGCCACGTGGTCTGCTAACATGACAATAGCTCTCAACTTAGAAGACAAGTAGCACTTTCTTCTGACAGGATGTCCATCCCAGCTCTAAGGCATGACCTCTCCACCTGCTCATTCATTAGCCTCCCTTTTCTTATTGTAGCATGACTTTAGTAATAAGGGATCACAGACAAGTCTTCCTTTTAGAATTTCTGCGTAGTCTGATGCTTCCTGTGTTAACTGCGCATTTTACCTGGAATTCTGGCAGCAGTTCTCATGGAGCAGGGGACATTTGAATCTGGTGAGAAACAGCCATGGAACCATCTGGAGGAAGAGTGATTCAGGCAGAAGGTACAGCACATGCAAAGGCCCAAGATGGGAACAAACCATGTGTTCTAGAACTCCTAGGAAACTGGCTAAAGCACAGTGAGCAATGGAGAAAGAGATGAAAAGAGAGTCTGGTGGGTGGGAGTCAAGGACCTTGGGTGTCTCAGTAAGAAGTCTGTATTCCAACTCAAAATAGAAATCATTGGAGCATTTAAAGCAGAGAGCATTTAAAGCAGAGGGATGCTCAATTATTATTATTTTTTAAAAAAGATGGTTCTTGCTACTTTAGGGAGAAGGTATGCATCTGCATCAGATATAGGGGAAGGATTGTCTGATTAAGAACCAGGGGCAGAAATTTAAGGAAAAAATGTCAGAGGTATGGGCTAGACAAGGTGGGATAGAAATGCACTTGTAAGGTGTGTGTGTGTGTGTGTGTGTGTGCGTGTGTGTGTGTGTGTGTGTATTCATGTTGAGAAGCTGGGCTTGAGCCAAGGATGCTATGGATTTGACATGTTAATGCAAAGAAAAAGCCAGAACAATGTTCTTATAGCACAGCAGTAGGGCGTTTGCCTTGCACGCAGCCAACATGGCCGACCTGAGTTCGATTCCTCCGCCCCTCTCGGAGAGCCAGGCAAGCTACCGAGAGTATCTCGCCCGCACGGCAGAGCCTGGCAAGCTCCCTGTGACGTATTCGATCTGCCAAACACAGTTCTTATATATATTCCATTTAAAAAAATCAGAAACACAAAGCATTATGTTCCTTCTTCCCTAAACAAAGATAGCATTACCATATACACTGTTATGCACCTTGCTTTAAAAAAAAAAGATTCATTTATGGATTCTTTTTTACACTCAAATTTAGAAAACATCCTCAATTTTTAAATAGCTGCATAATATTCCATTGTGTGGATGCATCCGTTTCTTTACCTAATTATGTAGTGAGAGCCAGTTAGATTATTTATAGCCGTCTGCTCTTAAGAGATAATGTGGTAATGAATAACCACATATGTACATCATTTCCTAACTGTAAGATAAATTCCCAGAAGAGGAATTGCTGGTTCAAAGGTTAAAACATTTGTCATTTTGCTCCTTTGTAGCAAACCATTTTGTTTCCTTATGAGCACCGTCATAGCCTTATAGCTAGTGTCTCCAGAATGGCAGAGGGTTAGACCTCTTTATCATCCTGTTATAAAAATTTGAGACACCATAAACATATACTCAGTGTCAGAGACGAAAATAATCGATATGATGCTTCATCTGGTAATATCAAAGAGAAATAAAATCAATTTATTGCTTAAATAAGAGGTGTTTCCCTATGTAAAATGTTCAAGAAGGATTACACTACAGGATGTAATGAAGTTGTTAATGCTTGCTGCTATATATACGCAGACTAGTTGTAAATGTCACCCCAAATGCAGATTGATACAGATGTGTTTTGTTGGTGACTCAAAGCAGACTAAAAGACTAAAAGCAGAATTGCTATTGGAAAAGTGATTTTCCAAAATAGATAACCCTTCTGAAAAAAAAGAAAAAAAAAGAAAGAAAGAGAAAGAACCAACAAAGACCCCTCTTGGTCAAGTTCTAAGCAAAATGGAAGACAATTTTCCCTTCATTTTACACACCAGTTGCATTTCTAGAAAATTCAATGCTTATTAAAACCATGCAAGAACTCCTTTGTATTTAAATATGGAAAGGATTTAAGTTCTAGAATTAGAAGATTATAAGCAGGACATTCTCTTACCTGAATTCCAGTGGAACATTTGTAGGACACAGGGCAATTCTTTATATGGGATCATCCTGTCCTCGCCCTCTAAGGTGACCTGTTTTCTCCCGTTTCCCTTCTCTTCAGAGCCCTCCAGTAGTTCCTTACTGTTTGACATGTGCAGTGACACAGCACATGCTATCAGCCTGTGAAAGATTCATCTGAACAGATTCAATTTTGGATATTGAAATGCAAACTTTGGGAATTTTAAAAAATGGCAAGAAGGAATCCAGTATCTGGTTCATACAATGCATACTGGAATGTGCTCCTGGTTCCTTACTCTGGTAAACATGTGTGTGAAAGTCAGAGACCCTTTTGTAAGTGGTTATGTGTCCTTGCAAAATTCTTGCACCCTTTTTGGGCCTCTTGTCATCTGTGAGGTGAAAGAATGGGATTAGAGAACTGAAGGACCCCTTTTGGTGTTAAATTTTTTTTTAATTTTGAAAAGGGCAGTGTCTTGCAAGCACTCTGAGCTCTGAATTTGTTAATATCAATCAGCTCAAATCTTTCCTGAGGGAGATCTTTCTTGAGATCCAGCTTAAACTATGGTGCCTGTGTAAACCGTGAACTGTGTCACTCTTTTGGGATAGTGATTCTCTGGGCCAGGGTGTCTTTCCTTGATGCTCGGAGTTACCGAGAAATGCCTGCAAAATGCACCTGTATCAGGCTGGTCGCAGATCAGAACTTTAATACAAGCTATGGTCACAGTCTCAGTGTCTAGGAGATCCTCTATTTAAGTCCTCAATTGGTTGTTTAAATAGCACTAAGCGCTCTGATTTGGCGGTGCCTCGATTTTCCCATTAGTTAAGAGATTAACAACAGTACATGCATGCTGCAGGTACATTTCCTTTATTCACATTACACTCCTCCCCCACCCTACCCCCAGTCAGAGCTTATCATTGTACACCTATTATTTAGGATTTTAGAGTAAAGCCGGTCTTCCTCGCGAGTACATACATTCTTTGAACAGGCGTGTCTGGTTTGCCCACCAGTGGTTTCCAGCACAACCTACAGTCCTATCGCTAAGATGCTTGACAAGCGATTCATGGGATGAATGAGGGACCTCAGGACGGCGTGTGGATAGATACAGCAAAATAGAATCTAGAGGATGAACTGGGGCTATACTAAGAAGAGCTAGGATGCACTCAGAAAACTCACTGGGTTCTGAAGGAAAATTAATTTTCTCCCTCCCATGACAGTGGGCTAAGCCATCCCCAGACCACTTGCCCCGGGGTGAGGCAGCGCTGGGCGGGTTTGGATCTGCTAGCACGCTTCCGCAGACGTGAGGTGTGCACAGAAGCGGAGAATTCATTATAACCAGTTAGTCATCCGTGGAGCCTGTAGACACTGCCCGTGGGCGGGGCGCACCTGGTGCGTCTCCACTGGGGCCTGTTCTCCGCGCTTCGGGCTGGGGTGGTGGCAGCGGCGGCTGGGGACTCGGGAGATCCTCCGCTACTCTCACCCAGCACACAGTTCCCTCAACGGTCCTTCGCCCCACGCAGTTCACTTTGAGGTCGAGCCCAGTATCTGCGGTGGGGGTGGGGTGGGGGGAACTTTTCTAAGGAGCGGCCCGGGGAAAGCAGCTCCCTCGACCGCGGGGCTGCAGCGGGGCCCGGGAAGCGCGCGCCGCGCTCACTGCGGAGGCCCCGCGGGCGAACTCGGGCGGCGGCAGGAGCGCGCGACTCGCCGGGCCCCCGGACTTGCGCTTGCCCGGGCGATGATGACTCAGCCGGCCCGCTGCTCGCTCTTTCCGGCCAGCCTTGCGCGGGCGCCCCCACAAAGTTCCCACTCGCACCCCGCACCGCTCACGGGGACCCCCGGGGGGCGGGGAAGCAGGGCTCGGGTGGCGGCGCGGGAAGCCGTGGGGAGACCCGAGGTGGCCTCTCTTCCTCTGCAGGCGCCCGGCCGCCTCCTGCCCGGTGCGGGGAGGTCGGCGCGAGGGGCTGGGGGGCGGGGGGTGAGGGGGGCGGGGAGTGGGCAGCGGGCGACCCTTCCCGCCTTGGAGGCATCTCCGAAACCTGGGCAGTCGCCCTCCACTGGGCTCCCGCCCGCTTCTCCCGGTAGCCCCGGCCTCCCGGGCGCCCGCGGGAGCGTGAACGGTCGGTGGGCGCCTGGGCGACCCCGCTGCGGGTCGGAGCCGGGAGCCCCGAGCTCGTGCGGCTGCAACAGTGCCGACCCGCCACCTCCCCGCCTCCCCGCAGCCTCTCGGGCTCAGGCGCTGCGGCGGGCCGGACCCCCGGAGCCCCCAGTCCGGTTCCAGCCTCGCCCCGCCGTGCAGGGGGTCCCCCGTCGGCTTCCGCACGCCCCCTCTCCGGCCGCACATTTTGGCCCCTTCCCGCGTTCCTCCTCGCCCGAAAAATTTCGCGCCGGGGGCGGGGAGGGTGGGGGGGGGGAGAGTGTGCGTGAGGGAGGGGGAGGGTTGGGGGGGCGCAGGTCGAGCCGCCCGATCCCTTTGATTCTCACCCAACTGGGCCCGGGGGCGGTCGCGGGGCGGGACACCCCCGAAGGGGCACGCGGCGCGGGCTCGCGGCGGCGACCACCCGGCAAAGTGCGGGGCTGCGCGCGTCCTCCCTCCGCTCCCACCCCCACCTGGCGCGGGTGCCCCGGGCGCGGGGCCGGCCGGGGACCGGGCGGAGACGGGCGCCCGCGCCCGCGGACTGCGGAGTTGCTCCCAAGTCGGCGGCCGCAGTGGCCGGGCGGGGCGGGGCGCGCTCGGCCGCGGCCAAGGACACCGGAGTTTGCGAGTCGCCCCCGCCCGCGCGGCGCCTCCCGCCCGCCCGCCGCGGCCCGCCGGACTCCCCGGGGCCGCCGAGGCGGGGCCGGCGGCCGCCGCTGCGAGAGGCGCGTCTCCCTCCTGCCTCCCCTGCCTGCCTCCCTCTCCACCTCGCTTCCCTCCCGCTCCTCCCCGCCCTCCCCGCGCCACCCCTCCCGCTTCTTTTTCTGCTCCCCCAAGTGAGCCCGGCGCGCGAGAGGCAGGCGGGGCGGCGCGCAGAGGCAGCCCAGCGCGATCGCCCACCGCCCGCTCGGCGCAGCTCCCCGCGGCCACCCGGAGGAGCCGCCGCCGCCGCCGCCGCCGGCGCGTCCGAGGGAGCCCAGCATGGCCGGGCCGGGCTGGCCGCGCCGCGCGTCCCGGGGGGCCCGGGCGCTCCTGGCCGCCGCGCTCCTCCACGCCGCGCTCCTGGGGGCCGCGGTGCGCTCGGAGCAGCAGATCCCGCTCTCCGTGTAAGTGTGCGCCGCCCGGGGAGGGGACCCGCCGCCCGCCGCCCGCGATGCTCAAGTTTGGGCGCCCGCAGGTGCGTCCGGCGGGACCTGCCGCGGGGCGTCGGCGACCTCGCCCTTCGCACCTGCCTCCCGCCCGCGGCGGCGGCGGGGCGGGCCGGGTGGGTTCGCCGTGCCCCCTCCGGCAGGCGGGCGACTGCAACCCGGACAGGTTCACCTTAAGTGACAGCGCCAACTTTGAAGCCCGTTTACCGAATCGAACTTCCACGGGCCGTTTATTTATCCCTCCTCTCTGCTGCCTTGGCACCTACTTCTTTTGGGGGGTGGGGGGCGGGAGGGTGGGTTCTCCCGACTAGTGTTGGCCGGGCGATGCCCCGTTTAGGTGGTCGAGTTCTCGGGCAGTGATGTCCGACAGAATCCGGTGGTCTTTCTGAAGAGCCGGATACTTGGCGCATTCAGAACTCTGTGACCCCCCTCGGGCCCCCTCCTGCGCTGCGCTCTGCAGTTCGTGCTGGCACTTTCCACCCAGAACGCTTCTTATTTCTTTTTTTTTTCCGCACCCCCCACCCCCCACCCCAGTGTTATATCGCCCGGTTCCTTTCGCAACTGCCCGGTGTGTGCGCGCGGGTTCGCGGGGACACGGATGCTACATGGGTTCCCGTGGCCTTTCTTCCCGCAGGGTGAAGCTCTGGGCCTCGGCTTTTGGTGGAGAAATAAAATCTATCGCTGCCAAGTACTCCGGCTCCCAGCTTCTGCAAAAGGTAAGGTTTCTGGGGAGGCGCCAAGCGGTGCCTCTTCCAGCACAGAAAATGGAGGCAGACTTGAGTTTTTCAAACAAACGTGAAGCCCCCCGCGTAGCATCCGTGATCAGAGGTGTGCGCGCGCCTGTGATTCTGATCCCCGGGATTCTTGGCAGTGTTCTGTGCAGCGACTTCTCCCTACCAACCGGTTATTTTTAGATGACACTTGATTCTAAACACAAAGAAAGGCAGGAGACTCACTCGCACTGTCCTGGCCGGGGCTCGGAAACTGAGTGTTTTGGCACTGCTCTCTCGGTCGGTATTGCTGTTTCAGCGCCAGAGCGCATTCTCCTCTGGCCTCAAATTGCTAACTTCATCCAAGGGGCGATAACAGTGCCTGGGCTCCTGTGTCTGTCACCTCGCCTGCATTTGGAGTCTGGGGTTCAGGGTATCAGAGACAACCGCTGCACTATTGTTTGTCATCTCTGCAGTTGTACAATCCCATTATTCCCCAATCATCTAGACCCAGGGCTGGGATGCATTACATCATTACAGATAAGGAGAATGAATGTGGTTATCTTCCCACTCAGCTGCAGGGCCCGGTGATAACCTAGGAAAGGAGTCCACAAAGTTAAGAAATTGGTCTGCGTCCACATAATTCTGGAGAGTAATGAGAATGGAGAATTGATTATTAGGCTTTTATCAGAAGCTGCATCAATTTTAATTCAGACAGACAGCATTATGCTTAAAATTACATTGGAGGAGATAGGAGTCTTCACCCTCCCCTCCAAGAAATAAAGAAAAGAAAGGAGGGGGGCTGGGGAAGAGAGATTAGAGGGGTTAAAGGAATTTCAAGTTAGCAAATCAACAGGATTAATGCCACTGTTCTCTCAAAGATAGAACATAAAACTGGCCTTTGGGGGATAATTCTCTGAAAATGGGTACAAACAGCTTAAATTGTTAAGTTAACTTTTAAGCATTTTAAAATGTGCTTTTTGGGCCAATGTAACATATGTGTTATGTATGCTGCCTGGTAACCAAGTACGTAATTTATTTATGGCATTCCACTTCAGAGAGTAGCATTTTGGGGGGTGTTATATGAAACACTTTGTCACATGAAATCCAAATATCACAATAAAGCACTGGACCACAGAAAATGACAAGAAATTCCAGCTTAAAAAATTGCCAATAAGCCGCATTTCTTGAAACTGTGGAAGGATTGCTCCCCTATTATTTGGGAGAAGAGTTCATTAATTTATAGGCACTTAATAAAAACTTAAGGGCATGGCATTGTATCTTTATGAATGATGACAGTTTACACATGTCACCCACCTCCAAGTTGATCAGACTTGCCCCTTTAGTGGCTATTCTTTTAATCTTTTAATCTGAACCAATTTGTGCCCTGCGTTGGCATTTTGCCCACATGTCTTATGTGAAGACTTCTGGACTCTGCACTGCCTGTGTACTTTCCTTATGTTTTTAAAGAAGAGAACATTTAGTGTAACTTTAGAGAAATATTTCTCCTCTGCATCTTTGTAGTTTAGTTGTAGCAACTCTAAGAGAATCCTATGAATGCTTTTCTGGTGGTGCTTATATATCTTTTATTCTCCTATTTTGTAGGAGTACATGAGAAAGGATTTTCCCCTTTCTCTTAAGTCTCATGCATGCACACACACAGATGTACACACACACACACACACATACACACACACACTGCACAAAACCTTATCAAACCTTTTATAGCAAATTGGAGACAGCTAAAAGGCTTCTTGTACCTTCTCATCAGTATCCTTTCTGATAGTGAATTCATAAGCCTAGCTTTGCTTTTGTCATGTTTGCAGCTTGACAATTGTGTAATTGTTTCCAGCTGTTTGTGGCTTTGTTTTTTCTTGCTGTTGCCTGGCATTTTGTAATCTGATTCAAAAGGAAGGTGAGGTGTTTCTTGGCTTTGGTTTCACAGTGGGTATCTGCTCTTGCACTTGGATTGCTAGGCGAGGACTTCCCTGAGTGATAGTCCTGAGTGATAGCCTTGAGTGATAGCTTGGGAAGAATTTTGTCAGGTATCTTTTGACTGTCTTAGGCCATTGCCCCAAATATGACTGTTTGGAAAATTAGTGAAGAACATTGCTTCAGAGTCTCGAATGAGAAAAGATCTGAGGTGCTTAGAGTGTGAAAGGCAAAACATTCTTTGTAGAAACAAGGGGTAACTGCTTTCCTCTTGCTTATTTTGAAGTTTCTGAGAAATTATTTTCCTAAGTCAGACTGTATACCTTTCCATCATATCACTACATCCTTAACAATCAAGATACTCTTAAAATGAGTTGGATCTTGAGGGCAGAGGGTCTCAAAAATAACAACGCTGTGTTGCATAATAGACTGTAATTACACTTTTAAGGTATGGACATTTAAACTTCCTTTTCAGTTAAATAAGGTACGTTGCATACCCCTTTGTAATGTGGTTTCTCTAATCAACACTTCATGTTATGAACTGATGTAGTATGTTCATTTTCAGAATGGGGTTTAGTAGATTTTGCACTCAGGCAAAGATTTTGCAAAATAGTTTTTGCAAATGGAAGTTAAATAATAATTGGTTGCCTATTTTGAGGTGTTTGGAGACTGGGAAAACTGCCATTTTGGTAGCAGATTTTTATTAGGTAATGCAATTTGAAGTGGCAGTTTTCATTGACTTCATCAATGTTAATATAAACATTTAACAATATCCCTCATTGTTATGGCTTCACAAAAGAGACTATTTTACCAAATCCTTCTGTGTTTAATACCATGACTTTTATTAATACAGTTTATTACATAATAGGTACTTATTACTTAACTTTATCTATTTTTTTGGTTTGTTTTTGCTGACTGTAGGAAAAGCAACCAATTAGCTACTTATAAAGGTGCTATGTTTGATTTTATCGAGTGCACTGTGTTTGAGCATAGCTGTGTGTTTTCTGTCCAGCAAGCACACAGGACTTGTCTGCTGGAGTTGGGGTGACTGAAGAGGTTGCACAGTGATTCCGAGATAGTGGCCCCTGAGAAGGAAGCATTGGCATGCTCCGTGACTGCGTGCTTCTTCCTTAGCTGGAAGAGATGCGGGCTTCTGATTTACTACAACTTTTAATTAACTTTCCTATTTGACATATTCGTGCTTGTTTTGCTTCATGCTAGTCTTGCTTCATTTCTCCCAAGGAACATGCTTTCGTTGGGTGTTTTGGGGGAGGCAGACTTTCAGCATCCTCTCTGTTTTGGGATTCTCTGAGAAGCGTTTAAGCTGGTCTGCTCACCTGGGCTACTCAACTCATAGGTTCACCCTTGGTATTCACAGGAAAAAGCATTAATTACTCTAGCATGATTTTCATTCCTTCCTCCTCTCAGAGAACTGGGTAGGAGCTGGAGCTTTCATGCCATTTAGTCCTATGTTCAGGGAGAGCAGGTTCTTGGGAATGCAGGGTTCCAATGACCTTTTCCAGCAATATGATAATAAGGACAGCAGAAACACAGGCAGTGGGTGTCTCTACCGTTAATGCTGGACAAGAATTGACATTTGTTTTGGATGCCTCACGCAGTTCCTACCAAGCACACACTTCTTGGAGTGCAGGGCCAGGTTTTTGCATTATTAACTATTTATTGAGAAGGCTTTAATACAGAAACTTGATGTCTCTTTCCATAGGACAGAGTCAGCAAAGTAAAAGGTTGGTTCTTTAAGCCATTTTGATAATTATGACTTTTCATCAATGTGGAAATCGATGGGCTTTTAAATAATTAAATAGGAGTGCTCACTTATCAGGAACAGGGGAGCAGCACTGCGCTGCCCCTAGGAAGCTTGACACGCTCCAGAGGGTGATGATGGGGAGGCACTACTTGGCTGAATATGTCTGTCAAATAAACATGGTTATTTGTCATCCTGCAAGAATAATGCATTCAACCTATGCTGCCAATGCTTAATTCATGGCACACTTCAATTACTGGACTTTTACCTGACAGATTATTTTTTTAAAGTCTTTAAATCTCACAAAGGACATTTTCTGTCCTTTAGTGCAGTTTATTGGTCTCATTAACCTATTCACCGGGAAATTAGCAGAGCAGGGTAAGCCAATTAGAATTCAGTTTGTGGATTTTACCCATGCATATTTCCGATGACATTTGTAATATCATACAGGACTAGTTTTGAACAGATAAACTTCTTTTTGTATAGTTTTACTCTGGTTTTTGCCCGAGTCCCTTAATTTTTTTCTTCTTTTTTTCTTTTTCTTGAAATTTCTTTTCCATCAGATCTGTTTCTACTTTCTTTCTTTCTTTCTTTCTTTATTTATTTTTCATTTGGAACCCTAAAGCCTATGTTTCTCAGGAGGTTTACAGATGCTATGAAAAATTAAGGAAGATGAAAATATAGGCATGGTGTTTGTATTAGAGGCAAATTTCAGGCTTTTTTTTCTATTTGATTTTTAATTTTCATCAGTTACTTTTTAAATTTCATGCTGGTTTTAAAATTTATTTTAATTATTCTAACACTGATGTGCCAGGCAATGGGCTTTTTCTTTATCCGGTGCACAGAAGCAAATGGCATTGATTTCAGGGGTCCCTGGACCTTGTGCAGTAACAGTGTTCATGGACGTACTCATCATTGTTGAGATCCATAGCATCTGGAAGATGCTAGTGGTCTTTTTAGCAGGTTCTGTGTTCCAGGGATGTGATGATATGATTTCAAGCTAGGCTATGGCTGAGAATGATAAACAGAGACATAGAGGTTGTGAACGCTGGTCTATGAAGTAACATTTGAGGCATACCTGCTATATTATATTTATACAAGAGGCATAATGGCCTGTGGGGTTGGTTTATCAAGAGTGCTGCGGTGCTGCCTGTGACTGTCATCCAGAGAGAGGAAAAGTCCTCTTTCAGGCTCTCATAGAATCTTCATCAGCTGCTTAGGTCTAGTAAACAAAACGTGCAAGGAAAGAGAAACAACATCGAGAAAGAGGAGATGCTTGGTTTCCCTTGATTTTACTGAGTGTCTCATGACT